CCGAGAACAAATGTCCCCCTTAGTCACAAAAAAACCTACGGCTGCCGGTGCTCGTTCTTATTTGATCTTTAATAAAGGTATTCAAAGGCGAAACAACATAAACAACTGGACGAAATGACAAAGAAGGTACAGGTCGTTGACTGTTTAACTTCTCGAAGAAGAGTGAAGAATTAAGAAGATGAAAAATCAAAGATTTACCGTATCCCGTCGGTAAAACGGCCACAACATCTCTGCCCGAATACATCGCTTCTAAACACTGGACTTGTTTGGGTTTTAAATTAAGGTTACAATACCAACTCCGAGATATAGCGACTTGAAGGCTGCTATAAAACGTGGCGACCTGAACAACGATAGCGTCAATTTGTAGATGACAAAGGATATGAGGCAAAAATAGAGCAAATAAACGACTCGTCCCTAAGGAAATTTTTTGCTCTCTAAACACGTGACCAGCCTAAACCAGGTCTCTCCTCGCTCGCTCCAAGGGGCTGGAAGATGAGAGACGAGGTTGTTCTGGGTACTCTCGCGTCTCTCGCATCCCTATCCACAGAAAGCTGAGTCTTCTGGAAAGTTCCGAAACTTCACGCATTTTTCTGACACGCAAGTAAGATCAAGTCTGTTTAAAAAAGTTGAGAAATCCTTTTTGTTTTTAACTCTCCGCGTCCACAATCAGAGTTTGCTTACGTGATATCACAGCTAAAAATAACATCATTCCGTCTGAAATGGACTAGGATACCTTCAGTGTGGCTGTCTCGACTGGCTGTAAAGTACGTTGACGTGATCTCCGACAGTTTTCATCTCTCTTATTCCTTTTCCCCTCTCTGATTTATTCACCCTAGTAACATTCGTCCGTAGGTTCCCGTACTCTACGATTTTGAAGGTGACCAACCTTCTGGAGAACTCGCCGTCAACGCGGAAACTTTAACCGTGACCCAGAGACCGTGATTCGAACGGTACGTACAGTTTAGACTGTTATGTGACGCTGCTACCGTCTGCATTTGGGACTTCCTCGATACAGTGTTTCCGTTATTTCTTTATTTACAACTGGACGTCGGCGAGGGTTGGTGGGAGGGAATTGAACCTGACGGATCTAGAGGTTTGTTTCCTGAAGCCTATGTAGAGGTGAGACAAGCAAACTTTGTTGAAATTTTATATCAAAGAATATTTATATAATATTAACTAGGGTATGCTGTTCTTTGTCATGAGTTTTTTTTTCCGAGTATGAATTTTTATATTACCAGAATATAAACCTTACGTCTTAACTTTTCCCTCGTGTTTTCCTGTATTGAATTTGGCATTGTGTGAATGGTCTCCTATACTTTTTTTTTCCAATATATAATATGTATTTACAGAAAATCTGTTAAAACCTAAGATCACCTTTACAACCGAGTAAGAGTACATGTCAAAGGCTGTCACTCTTTATAATATTTCTTTATAACATATCTCAGAATATTCCCCCTGCATTTCCCTCTGCACTATATTAATATTCACCTTTTAAAAGCTACTACGTTAAAATGTTAGATTAATTTTCTTGCACATTAGCTCTTAGAAACTGTATAGAATTGTCTGTTCTTTCCAAAAAGTTGCTCTAATGAACCAAGTATTGTTAATTTGTCAAACAAGGTGTAATGCACACTCTCGACTTGTGTCAGATTTGTTGCCAGTCAATCACTGGAGACCTATTATAGTCTACATACACACATCTTTATATAACGAGGGTAACATATGAACTTACATAAGTTTTCTAACATATGGCCCTCTTCTTGACCATAACAAGTTCAGCAATGATTGGTTCAATTTGTTGAAAAATTCGCTGAGGGAAACTTTCGTCAAAATTTGCGAATCACAATGGAGGAATTTCAACCAATCACATCACAGCAGAACTGTCATAAAGTGATACATACTCACTTGACCTTTTAACGGAAGTCAGTAGTTCTGATTCTGGGTGTTCTGGAACACTCGTCCTGAGGGCCGTCAAAACTTACCCTAATTCAAAAATTTTCAAAAAACTATTTAAAGGTAAATTACTTCTTTATAGTATGGAGTCCAGAGATGTCAAAAAATTTTGGAGGGTCTTGAGGAAGATTTCCTGTAATACGCAAATTTTATTCATGGATAAATGACTTTATAAAAAGATGAGTGAAAAAATAATCGAGCCATATAATATGAATAAGTTGGATCTGAAAAAAATTGTCAAAATCTAACTTGATCCACCTGGTGATGAATCAGAATGACGAATTAGTAAAATGAAAGGCTTAGTTAACTATGCTCAGAGCAAACCCAAACTGATGCCAAAACCGAGGAAATCAGTCAAACAAATAGTTGAAGGGTATGATGAAAACACTGTACATTTGAGGAGTAAGGCATTGAAGAATTTCACCAAGTCATTTGAGGTTGTTATCACTGCACGAAATAATGCCCTTAAACAACTGGCATTGACATGGAAATCACTCATGCAAAAATTTAAGGGTGAGTTATTGGAAATGAAAGGTGACGTTGAAGGTCGCATTCGAGAAAGTGAAGGATGAAAAAAAAAACGATTGTGAATGATTCTGAAATCAACAGAGATTTGAGTGTTTCAAGCTCTGAACTCCTCAAGAGCGAGCTTTTTTCAACGGGTAGGTAAAATGTTCCTCTTTGCCAAAGACTGATACAATAGTATAGATCAAGCATTTGTCACGCAATGCTGAAAGTATTTCAGTCTTGTTTCCAACTTTTAATTTTACAGTCGCGAATATCCGTTAAAAACGTTTTTAAAAACCTTGTGGATGTGATAGATTTTCTTATCAGTCAGTCATCGCTGTGAGACTTGTCAACTTCGCAGCGGGGATCTCGTGCAGAATTGAATGTAAGTGATATCAAACATTTAGAAGAGCCAGTAAGCAGAACACAAAACAACAAATATCTCTAGCAGAGCAAAGGAAAGAGAGGAAAAATTGTGACAAAAAAAGATTAGGGAGGGGTTCAAAAGTCCAAGTAAAGACGAAACAGAGGTAAAGCGCAAAAGATTAAAATAGTATAAAAATGCCAAGGTGAACTAGAACTGAGGATAAATGTGCAATGAATGGTGTGCTATTTGAAATCACTAATACAAACAAAGAATCTTAGCTGAGTTAAGAAAGTTCTTCCCAAATTGAAAGTTTTAGTTACAAGCTCAGGGAAATTGAAATCAATCTTTTCAGGCATTGGTTAGGTTGGAAACTGTTCGCAAACTAAATCAATTGTGTCGAGAAGTAGGTTACTCTTTTGATACTTCAGCTAAAGCTACTTCAGCTAATATCGTGCCTTTAAGTCATTTCTGAACACCTAAAGGCTGTCAGCAATACCGATGTTGAGGCCATAGTAGATTTTATTTTAGCTCGAGCGCCAATTCTTAGCACACCCTCCAGTAATCAGACGAGACCGCTTGTTCCGGGCATGAGTGTTCTTTATGCGTTGGATAAAGGAGAGTGTCACAAAGATGGGGTTATCCTGCCATGCTAAAGGAATAAGGCGCTAGACTGATCGCAGAATTAGTATGGCATTTCTTAGGAAAATTTTCAAGCTAACTATTTTTTCAGGGTTTTTTTTTTTGTCTAAAAATTATTATTCCGAGGAGGTTTTCCAAATTGTTGCAAAGCACCGGTCTAGTCAAACGGTTAGAATTTATCAATTTTTACGCCTAACGGCTAAATTATTTTTTGCCGTTTTATGGCAAAAATACGTTCCATGTTTTACGTTTTGCAAAATACGTTTTCTTCCATTGAGACCCAGTAAAATCTGGCATTTGGGCAGGGCATTTGAACATGATTTTGGCCCAGGCGGATGGGAACCCATCATAAAAAGTTAAAATATCTAAGGGGAGGCGGTGCTGAAGTATCAATTGATTCACGCATCATTTTTTTCTCTAGCAGGATAATTTTAGTATCCCTCCGTCTGACGATGTCATCTGTTTGATAATCACCGTAAAAATCTTGCTAGTGTCTTTATTCAGTCACGGACTGAGTCTAATGATATTTATCTAGAAACAGCTAGCTATCAGTTACGAAAGCGGTTTTCAGTTACCAACGGGGTGGAAATGAGTCCTCCTACAGTTCTATCTGCTTTTCAGTGAAACTCTCTTCGAGGTAACATATTCTATACTACCTAATAAACAAGTTTTGTTTGCATATTATTGTCCGTGACTTTCTGGGCCGAAAAGCCACCAGAAGGGATGAAGAATATGTTTTTATTCTTTTTTTGTCAGCCTTGCGTGACAAGCGCTCGAGTACGTTACACATATAGCAGCATCTGTATTGCTTCCCGTCTTCAATGTCTTCGACAAAGACCATTTGACCTACCCGTACAAATGATTGAATTGTCCTCTTTCAAGTCCACAGTGAAGCTCGATTTTATCCTAGAACTTTCGTTAAACTTAGTTGTGTTCGAAAATGCGAAATAATAAGCGCACTCCGCTAGCTTAACGAATGTAATATTGCAAACAATTTCGTCATGGGAAATGGATGAGAAATTGAAACGAAAGCGGGGATAAAAACCAATCTGTCCTCGTTACCTATGCTAGGCTAGCCTATTGTATTGATTTCCTGAGCGAACACGGTGCTAACTGCTGAAATGTGCTTGGAATCCCGAAGTTAACCACAGGGTGCCTAATTAGATTATGTCTTGAGGTAAATGCCGATGTTGCGATTTTCACAAAGTTCAGCCTGGCTGTTCCGTGCGGAAATGAAAAGCCCCAAACTAATTTTTATATCCTCTAAAACAACGCTATTTCCACTTCTCATGACCTTAACGTGAACTGATTCTGAATTATACCGCATGGGGAAATGAGAATTAAAGAGTTGCTACGAAATGTGATATTTGGATTTTGAAATAGTGGTGATTTTCAAAAACGTTCCGTGAGCTCCAAATTAAATTAAATGGTCTTGTTTTAGACTTAAACTATACCTCGATCCTTCCTGCACAAATTTATAAAATTGATACGAGCTTGCTCATGAGCAAAGTTCGTTTGCCTCTTCTCAGGGCACTGACATCTGCCATTTTACGGCTACCGACGCTCGTTTCAGTTTTCGTGAATTTTCTAGAATAGAGAAGCAAGTCTGGGAAAAGAAACCTTACCACGTTACTATGTTCACTATAAGGTGTCTCTGAGCAAAATATCAAGGTTTTCAGATTTTCGACCATGTGCCACATTTTTCGATTTTCACTCAGTCAATTCACAAAGTCACTCTTAATAAGGTTGGGAATTGGATTTCTGTAGCTTCGGGATGGTCTCTTGATCGGATCGAACAGCATTTCATTTTGAATGTCGTTCTCTATAACCCAATAACAGGATCTTCTAACATTGATCTTCCTGGAAAATTAAAGGTAACAAAGAGCTCTCTCAGTGTACAGAT